TATCTATCTATCTATCTATCTATCTATCTATCTATCTATCTATCTATTCAATATGCATATCACAATGACAAAGGCAATTACCTATCTGCATCTATTTAGCTTTTTAAAAAATGCTTCCTTTTAAAAAACAAAGTACCTGATGTAATTGTCACTCAACAGTGAAAATTCCTTGTAGTACTAACAAGCTGGCATAAAAAAAATAGTGCTTGCCAGTTTGTGTATGAATTGCCAATTTCACCACCAACAACTCATAAAGTAAACCATTCCCTCTCAGAGGCTATGCGGTTGTATGAAAATCTCAGGTGCCTTTTTAATTTGAGAGAACCGCCCAATGAAGTTTGCAGACAAAACAGTGCATAAAACCAAAAGCAGTCATCTACTAGTGTAGAAGTACATTAAAAACCATGTGTTTGTGTGTGAGACTGTATGAATGTGTTATTGTTAAAATTAACTTTCTTTCTCTTGCCAAGAGCTGGTACACCAGAGGAATGTATTCAACTTACACTTGCCAAGAATACGTTTCATTTACCAAAATAATTATAATCTACATTCTTCCAATGTAGGCTCGATGAGTTTTCAAAACAGCACAAAGGTTTTACATGGCAAAGACCAGCTGTGGAACCAATGAAAGGCTTTATTTTTGCAGAGCTGCTGTTTGGATTAGATTCGATTCACCCATTGCCAGAGAAGCTGTACAGAAGCCAGTCAGACCAAAAAGCAACCATAAACCATAACCACTCATTTCAAATGCAACATCCAGCGGTTCCTTTCAAACGAAAATGTTTTTTTCATCACTTACAATGAAAGCGGCTCATTTTGGAAAGCATACATGTTAATAAAGTTAAACTAAATCCTAATACAGAATTAAAATGTCCACTGATCATAGAGTTTATGATTATTAACACAGGATTTGGTTTCCAGGATTCCTTGGGTTTCTTTACTGCTTGGTTAAAACATTTTTTTTACAACCCCAGTTGCCAATAAAGATATCAGACCCTCAGTATTTACAATATAAATAAGATAAGCATAAGTTAACATGTGGAGAATAAGCCAGACTTGTCACTGTGTATAAAGATGGATGTAATCACAACATCATACACTGGTTTGTACACTTCTGTTTTAAAGCCTGGAGTTCAGCATTTTCATCAGAAGTGCTCCTGATAAAACTGTCATCTATAGCATAGTTCGTACCATTCAAGTTGACTTGTAATTCTGACTGGTATCACTGTTGTGCAGTCTTCATGAGAGAAATATACCTCATTAAACTGTTACATTGAAGCTGACATTACTCTTAAGTCTGTTGTTTAACATGCCACTAAGTCCACATAAGGAGATAGAGTGGGCCTGCTCAGCATTAATTTGGAGTATCTTATTAACCTAACATGCATGTTTTTGAATGGTGGGAGAACCCATGAAGACACAGGGAGAACATGCAAACTCCACACGGAAAGGTTCAACTTCCCCTGGGACTCAAACCGGGAAACCTCTTGCATGTGAGGCAACAGTCATGACTACCACACCATGGTGCCACCAAAGTCTGAAATGTCCCAGGAAATAATCTCCAGTTCTGCATCTGTTTGCATCTACTTTGTGTACAGACTTTTGTCACTAATAATTTTTTTCTAAATCCCTACATAAGTTTTAAAAGCGTCAGTAAAAACTGAGAAACAGATGTTTCCAACGGCAGTCCTCTTGTGAGTTGATTTTCTTACTCGCGGTAACTGTTTACATTCACCACGATGTGTCACCAGGTGAGCATTCAGATATGGCAGACAGCTGCCAGATAAACTTTGTTTAGCTTTATTGACACTTTTCTTTGACATTACCTTTTTTTAGGAACTCCAAATGATCTTATACACTGCACACTGTGTTAGTTTTGGTTGCAGGGATTTATACACTGAACACAAACCTGAGTGGACCACCTCTTTGGTGGGCCCATGGGTATTCTATTCATTAAACCGTCAGAACTTCCTTGCTTGATATTTTGTTAAAGCCGTACTTTTATGATTACTTTCATAGTGACATAGTAAGGTTACCCTTTGCCTTCTTTTAAAACATTAACGAATGTCAAAACCTTTTTTGATCAGGATTCATCTCAATTTGTTTGGTTAATCACTACAACAGTGGTTTTATCTTAAGAATAATAATAACAGCTGCTGTTTGCAGAGAAAATGTTAGTTTTTTACATCCAAATGAAATTCAGACTGAGATGAAACAGAAGTGAACCCACCTGCCAGCACAAACAGATGGTTTCCAGGCTCTCCCTGCTTGATGACAAACTCTCCCTGCTGGTAGGTGCGCTCATACATGCACTCCACCATGTCTTTGATCTGCTGCAGCTCCAGCCTTTTCAGGTACTGGTTCTTGTTGAGGGCGTCTGTTAGCAGCTTCTTAACACTGTCACAGATCAGCAACACAGGAAAAATTACAGAGGGGACTTTAACAATGTTGTTTTTGGGGGAAATATATGAAGCATGGGGGTTTACAAGGGAGGCAATTTTTTCATGAATTGAAAACCAGTTTAAAATATATATATGTGTGTATATATATATGTGTTATATATATATATACAGTGGGGGAAATAAGTATTTGACCCCTTGCTGATTTTGCAGGTTTACCCACTTACAAAGAATGCTTATTTTTCCTCATCAGATGGTTATCAATTTTCATAAATTCATACAATGTGATTTTCTGGAATTTTCTTTGGGATTCTGTCTTTCACTGTTAGAATGTACATATGATTAAAGTTATAGATTGTTGCATTCTTTGTAAGTGGGCAAACTTGCAAAATCAGCAAGGGGTCAAATACTTATTTCCCCCACTGTATATATATATATATATATGTTTCAAGATCTTATTATGATGCCTTTGTTATTTTTTCCATGTGTCCTTGACTTAGACTTCTTATCTAAAATCTGCAAATGAAAACAAAATCTAACTTATTTTAAGGGATTAGTTACTCAGTTAAAAGGTTAGTGGAATATACTTACATAGACTATAGCCTATGCATCTAAGTGTAATAGCATGTAATACTCGTATAGTTTCCAGTGTAAATAAAATCAAGAATAATACTAGGCAAATTTTCAACCCAAATCATACCAGAGGGAGCATATTGAAATAGCTATTAGTGCACTTTTCCTGAAAAGCAAAGTTGAGCTAAAACAAGGTTGATTAACTATATCTTCGAGGTTGTGTGCTAATGGATCTGGGTCATCAGCTGATCCATCTACTTTTCACAGAAAGGCTCAATAGAAATATTCTTGGAAAGAAACCTTTCTTAAGGAAAAAAGCAGGCAGGAGTGACTGAGGGAGGGGTGAATTTGTAAAGGTCAGAACTCAAAATTATTGAAGCGGGGTGGGCTAATCTTTGCAGAGAAAAGCTTTAAAAACTTACTCTCATTTTTGCCTATGTTTCAATCTATGTTTTAATGTTCTACCTGTTTAATTCATGTGAGAAGGTTCTTTTTCAACAACTGTCTTCACCACATTTTTGGCCTGCATCATAAATACTGTCTCCAGCAAAATCATGACTATTTGCAGCCTTTGGACCCCTCTCCAACCATGAAACAAGTAAACCTGTGAAAACGTAAAATCACCATGAGCTGTCAGAGATTACTGACATGTATCTGAACAGCTGTGGTACATGGTGGTACGAAGACCTCACTTCCTGCGGGGGACTGTAAACCAAAAAGGTTAAAAAGCCACGGTTTAACTTTAAAACATGAGATTGAATTAAAGCTCTGAGTGGTGTGCAATGCATATAGTGGGTGGCCTGTTTATCCTTGGGTAATAATTTATCATTTTGGGGTTTCATAAAATAAGTGCAGGGATCAACTCCTTTACTTTACACACATCCTTTTCTCTCCATTCACTGTACCTTACTCTGCAACATGTTACTGATCAAGTCAAGATTATTAGCAATATATGGTTTAAAATTGATTATCACATCATGAGAGATAATATTCTATTTTTCATTCAGCAAAGAACACTTCATTCAGGTGGTACAGTCCACAAAACACATGACAGAAGTGGCTTTCATGTTAGAAAATTAAACAGGACTTGTTGCACTGATCTTATAGTTTCTCAATGTGTTTGATTTCTGCCTGACAGGAGCAGTGCACACTTCAGATGATTTGTGTTTAGTTTTTAAGAATATCTGCACCTTTCTTAAATTCACCTGAACAGTAGAAAAGCGTGGAGATTCGTTTTTTAGGAGGCATAGCAGTCAGCACTTTTTGGTTTGTTTTTGTTGAAGCTGGAAAACAACAATGCTAGAATTGAGCAGAGTAGCAAACAAGACAGATGACTGCACAGCAGTGTATAAAGGTAAACAATCTGATGCAATGTATCATCATGTTGCATTATTTCTCACTCTTTACCAACCTTCATTGGTCATTGTTGATAAAAGAAGTTAGTTTTGTCAAAGATTTACACAAAAACAATTTGCTTGACCACAAGTAAACAAGTTCCTGGTGTAAGAATGAAGATGGTTCTTATAAGGTGGATTGGATTGGTCTGAAACTATTTTCTGGAAGCAAAAAAATCAAGAAACATTTTTTTTTCTTTCAAGCTATTCAGTGAAACAGACATGGATGACAGTTGCTTTCAGAACTAATCACTACAGTCTCATGTCTTTCAAGTGAGCACAGGACATATATTGGAGTAATATTTGTAACAGGACTGAGGAGACCCCTCTGTAAGGCAGAGAAGACAACAGTTATAAGTTCTGTTTTAACTGCTAGTGATAATGCATCAAGCATGAACATGTTGTACACAGTCTTTAGCAAACTGAAAAGCCTTGAGTGTGTAACCATATTCGCTTAACATCATTACAGAACTTAGTTACAGCTTTACGCATTGACGATTATGTTTTTTAGTGAACATAAACCTGTACGTATGGAACTTTCCTGAAAGAGCCAAGTAAAGAAAATTTGACAACATTAAACAAATGAGAGCTCACAACATTTTAATCACTTAAACCACTTACAGCAGCAATGTAGCTCAGTCAGCATGAATGAATATCTGGGGGGAGGGGGTTGTAGCTGTATCCATCAGTAAAATTGGTTTAAAAGCTTAAAAGTTTGCATTTTCTTTTTTGCAATATATTTTAACCACTTTTTCATTTGTGCCTAACACTATTTAAATCCCTTCTCCTCACTAATGACCTCTTCTGAGGCACACTGCTTTAAGAGGAAATCTTTACTTACTAATCTAATAAACCTGTTGAGGATTGAAGTACTGATGGGTGCCATGAATCAGTTAGGTAGATATGTAATTTCATGAGTAGAAGGATAAAGCTCAGTTGTCATTGTACAAAAGAAAAAAGTTAATTTATGTACCTTTAACACCTGTGAATGGATTGAACTGCGCTGTCTGTTTGTTTGCTTAATATCTAATTCTGGGAACAAAGGCTGTCAACGTCCAATCGTGGTTTTATGTTCTCTTTAAGGGTTGGCAACCTATACCTATGGATTTATCCCTATTAAGGAGTTCCAGCAGTGATGCTGAGTGATAAATGCCTGGCTTGCTTGTGGTGTTTTGGTGAAAAACCGAAGCGGTGGAAGGGGGTGTGATCAGAGTTCTGTGCAGTTTTTCACACCAAACTGAGGAAATAATTTCTGGTTGGAACAGGTAAGTTGTGTGTAAACATTTACAGAATGCTTCTGTGTGTAATGTGTAATTCAAACACGTCCTAGGCATAATATTTATCATATACACACACACATATATATATGCATCATCATATATCTTTGGTGTATGCCAGACATTCACTTACCACCCACTCACTGTGCTGCTTGAATTTTTAATTCCCCTCCACTGGGCCATACTGAGCAGAGCCTGAGGGCATCACGAACCTTTTACTGGCTCCTTCTGGTCTTTTATATTGAGTCAAGCTGCCCTCTAACATCTCACCTTGCATCCTTTGGTACCCGAGCCTTCTCAAAGGAAAACTTTGGCAGGCTGCTGGAGTCATAGGTCCGGGATGTGGGTTCTGCCGACACCCCAGCTTTGGCACCTCTCCTCCTGTTAAGGGTTTCCTTGATACGAACACTGAGGTTGGGGCTGCTCCTGCCCCCAGCTTTAACAGAAGGGGGCCTTGAAGCCAGACTTGCCGGAGGTCCGCTTTTCATCACATCCTCCAGCTTACTGAGCTGGACGCACTTGTTCTGCAATTCTTCGCTGAGCTCCGACAGAACCCGCATCTGTTTGGCCAGCTGCTCCTGCAGACTTCTAATCTGCTGCTCTTTAGCACAAAGCTCGTTGTCTTTCCTCTTTCCCACTAGTTCCAGCTCCTCCACTCGAGCTCTAAGGGAATCCAGGGATGTGTTTTTTGACTCCCCCCAAGATCGCCCATTGGATGTTGAAGCTGAGCCATCGGCATGTTTGTAACGCTTTGATTTCATCGAACCATTCCCCATTTTATCACCTGAATGACAAGAGGTTCAAGGTATGATTATTCTTTAATAATCTGGGGGGGAAAAGCAGCTTTGAACAGCGACACAAACCATTTCTGTTTTAGGAGACTGGGGAGTAAAGAGCTGATGCTGTGAGGAAACACGGAGCAAATCCTGCACATAATAGACAATGACTGTCCTCTCCATTTATAATTCAGAGGGCAGGAAGTATTAAATTACATGAACAGTCACTCTTAGTCTGCTAAGACTGGATCAGTGGTACAAAGTGCCAATCACAAAGCTTAAAATATGATAGCAGGATTCAAAAGGAAAAGGGCTTCAAGGCTGAAGTTGCTCTGTAAAGCATATGTTTCCACATATGAGAACAATCCTGTTTTTGTTATGTAGGAATGTCACCCACTCACACATACAATAGACTTAATTTGTGGCATTCCTCATTTGACAGTGAGTCAAATTACCCTGTTTTCCAATGCTTTGTTCAATAAATCCAAACCACAGCCATATTTTGTAAACCCTAAAACCGATTCTTCAACTTTGTTTTGATGCTTCAGCTCTGACAAACTGAGGACCATACAAAAGATTTACACAGTCTACAAACCCAGAAACAGACCTGGTGTTGTAAGGCTGTTTCTGCCTTGGGATTAAACCGTTTCAAAGCTGGAGTGTACAAAGTGAAGTAAATAAGAGCAGAGAGCACCTGCCACTTCTTCTATGCCTCGTCATTGTCACGAATTTGAAGTTCACTGCAGACGTCTGTTCTTACCTGTTCAGTTTTGGTGCCTTCTTTTAAGGAAAAAATGACGATTTGAGCACAAGAAAAGATCTGTTTGCACATTCGAGCATCAACAAAAAGACAATCTGTGTCCAGCACGGGTCGCATCCTCTCCTCCCTCGCGCTCTCTCTCCTCGCTGGCTGTTTGGCGCGTCCCCATGCGCGCGGACACTGTCAGATCAAACGTAATCTACGTCAGCCTCGATTTATTTATTTATTTATTTATTTATTTATTTATTTATTTATTTATTTATTTATTTATTTATTTATTTATGTATTTATTTATTTATTTATTTATTTATTTATTTATTTATTTATTAACTGTCCAGTGCAAAAGTCTTGTGACGTCAAAAATCTGAGTTTTCACAATTCGTGAGTGTCCATATTTGTTAGCTTGAACTCTGGAATATTCAGATATTCAAATATTGGCTGCCTTTCGTTCCATTCTCTGTCGAATGGTCCCACAGTGCTTTAACAATGTTGAGGTCTAGGCACTGGGGAGGAAAAGGAGAACGTTTCAGATCCAGGCGCATTTCTCGGGCTCATATGTCAGGTCTTGATTTTTCTTCTAATTTAAGGACATCATATTCATACTGATCCCCTGCTCTAGAGGTGATTATTTTTCCCAGCACTTTTTTTACGGGCCACGCAGCTCACCATGCTAAGATATGACAATAACTGCTTTGTTTAAAAAATAAACTATCGTTTGCATTTTGCATTTCAAACTAATCATTTTTTTTCACTAAGTTGCTCAGTTGTTATGCGTAGACACAAAAGTGATTCTTCCCAGGAGGTAGGTGACTTTTTGTATTTAATTAACCCAGTTTGGCAAGTGTTTAACAAAATAACAACAAATGCCCTCTTATGGCATTTGAGGCTTGAGTGATTCATAGGTCCATGTGCAGCGATTAAACAATAAATAAACATGAAAAATATAAGAACCCCAAAGAAACTATACTATTCTCTTACTTTGAAGAAATGTGTGTCAACCGTGAAATGTCCCCTTCCTTCTCTAGTTTTCTGGTTTTTGTATCACCAAGGTCAGTTTAGTTATGCTTTTTGGCATTGCCACATCTTTTGTTTGTTCATTATTAGGTTTCCAAGTTCCTTATTTCATGTTTTTTTGTGTGTCTGCACTTGGATTTCCCTTCTCCTCATTCCCAAAGCCAGTCCTCATCCACATCTTGACAAAATCTTTTCTTTTGTATTACTATGACAGTTTACCATTCTATGCTTTAGAGCTTGGACCAAACCTTTCTCGAATCTGTTCTTGAATCTGATGATATTTGACTTTATCTCCTAACTGATTTTTTCCCTTTGTTACCAGACCTTCTGATTTACACACTGACACAAAGGCAATTAAATATGTATTATATTGTGTGCTTCACAGGGCATGAAGATTGCTACAAAGCCAGTGAAGGGCAATCTATTTGTCGTTTTAATGGGGAATTTTATACATAATCGAAACAATATACCATGCCTGGCAGATCATGTTCTTTTATCATTTGATGATATAACAATCCTCATCACAGCACCCATGAAGAAACAAATCAAGGAAATAAAACAAACCTATTATTCCGAAAATGTACTTTTGTCATTTTCTCCTCTTTGTCTCCATTAGTTGTTTTTTTTCCTTTCCATGCATGAACAACGAATTACTTTCTCCAGCCTGTTTGCTGTGATGAGCTGTCTGGCCTGCAGCAACAACAAAGAATAATGGCATGTGGCCAGAGCTGGCTCTCGTGCAGACCAGAGTTAACCAGCGATCACAGAGTTTGGTACAAGTCTGAGAGGTTGAACGTTAATCTGATTAGGAAACTATGTCAATGAGGAAATTTAGCTATACATGCCTTCTCATGACTGAAAATCATCTTAAGTTTTGGACGTTGCTAAAATGATTAAAACACAATGTGTCAGTACTAAAAAAGCAAATGGTTGTAAATTTAAGATGCTGTCTAATTCAACAACATTTTTTATCCTAGTTCTCGGATGGTCCCATTTCTTGCTAGTAGGTGAACCTGATCCAATAATATGCGCGTAAGTTATACCACTGCTGGACCAGGCGTTCACCTTTATTTATCATCTCCATGGATGATGATGCATCCTCTTGAATGCACATTAATGGCTGGCAACTTGTACTAACTTTATTTGGCCACTTGGTGGAGCCAGATATCAATTTGAATTATCTTAGTTTAATGATATGACTCCATCTTTGGATCAAAATTGTGTGTCGTTTCTTAATATCTAAGGTAAGAAATTGTCAGGTAAACGAAAGCAAGTTAAGTCTTTTACTTGCCAGGTGCACAGAAAAATTTGAAGGTTGAAAGTCATTTAAAATTTGTATGAGTATATTTATTCTTTGGCTTATTTGGAATATTCTTAGACAGGCTTTATGTCATTTAAGTACGTTAGTTGTAATCAAAGCTACTTGTGAAGGGCATCCTGAAGCTCTTCTTTGATTGGTGGCTTTATTTTGTTCCATTCTCTGTCATACTTTGTCCCACTTCTTCTGTAATGTTGGGGTCCAGGTTCTGCATTTGCTGCCACTGATTTATAGTCCTGCCACCAAAGACTCAGCTGGCAGTGGACTATCGGTGGAACTACCGATTAAGGTGCATTATTCGGGTCATGTGTAAGGTCTTTGTTGGATTTTGAACTATTTTTATGATGCTTCAGAGCAGGGGTGTCAAAGGCCAGTCCTCAAATGCTGCCGTCCTGTAGATTTGAGATGCTTCCCTGCTTCAAAACAGCTGATTTCGATGGAAAAGATCCCTTTAAAACATCATTAGCTTTGCACAGTTCCGTTTACCATTCATTTATTTTTATCATGTGTATTGAAGCAGAAAATATCTAAAATCTGCAGGATTTTGACTGGAGTTTGTTACCCATGCTTCAGACAGAAGCATATTATTCAGATGAAGGTTGCATCTCAGCTTTCTTGGCCTGTTACTTATCCAATTACTTTTATTAGCGGTATGGTAGCAAAACCATACAGCTGATATAAATTTAAACAATATCACATTCAAACAAATGCTACTTTTGAAAAGTCAAGTACTTAAGATCTTTCCCCCCATTTTACTACTGATGAGTCCAGTGCCTCCCATGGAGTGCTCGATCACTCTGACAAATTTTTGTTGCCATTTCAATTTTTTCATAAATCATCATGAGAAATGTACAGATGGGAAATGTTGTTTTGCCCGCAATTCTGATAAGATGGTGCTGCAGCAGGGCCAGTAACGTACGCATTATGGATCTGACACGGACATCAGGCTAACTGACAAACAATCATGCGACAATCATGATGTAACAATATAAATTCAACAGCCATTAACAGCCCCAAACTCCATTTTTAAGATACCCTTAGAACCTAGGCTGTGTGATCATCATTCTCAATGCAAATAAAACCAAAAACATTCAATGAGTAACTTAAGAATTTGAAACATTTTTATTAACATTATTTTGTTAAACACAACTATATAACTTATAAATCATTTCTCAATTCCATTTCTGACAATCCAAGTGTAAATGGAAAAACAGACAGGGGAAAGAAACATACAGTATGGAGACCACAAAAGCAATCTGCTTTGAGGGAGAAATAGTCAAGGCAAAGCTTACATCAGTCAAAAAAAATGTTTTCACTTCATACTTTGAACTTGTACCTTGAAAAGTGTCTCATACAACATTACGTTTATAATGAGAAAAAACAGAACACTACTCATATTCCAACAGTGTGTACCTAGTACAAAAATTAAATAGAATCATAGAAAATATTGACATAATGAGCTAGTGTGACAATATGTTTATAAATAGAACCAATCTGGAGAGCCTACTTTAATAATATGAAAAATAAACAATATCAACCTTTTAGGGGTTTAAACAGAAATTTGACATTAATGAAATCACACAAAATGCATTCACAAGGGAACAGAGGGGGCAGCAGCAGAGAGCCACAATACTATCTAAAATCAGGAGTAACACACTTCCCAATTATAAAAGGCCTCAGTATGCTCCAAATCACCAGACAGTCTTTAATCAGCTGCCTTTCAAATGTATGAAATAACACTTTGGCCAAAGCTTACTGATGCTGTATTTTAGAACATATTTAGAACTTGTGTCATGATTTGCATAAGTAAGGTTTCCTGTTTCAGGAAAAAAAGAACGAAAAATTTGCAACACAAAAATGTTTTTTGTTGTTTTGTTTTTTTCAAATGTAGCCGGTGCAGTTTCTTTATACATGTCACAACAAACAATCAGACAGGAAGTGAACAATACACTGAACAGAACCAAATAAGTGACACGGTAGAAATAATGGTTAGCTTATTGATTAACAGTGTTGTGGGCCAAAGATTGATTTTTCAACACATAAAATGCGGGCATGTGGAACCAGAGCAAGTAGCGTTTTTTGTAGCATTAGCCAACCAGCAGCTAACTATCTAGTCGTTTCAGTGGAACAAAAGGAGTGCTAACACAGAGTGTTTATCAGGGTGAAATCCTTTTAACAAGGAATGTTAACCTGCTTATTACTTAAGGTTGTGTAATGTGTCTTTAACAAGACTAAAAATTCATACAAAAAATGGAGAAAAAAAACAAACAGCTGTCCTAAAATATACAGCAGAGGTCAAGGAAAAGAAGAGCTCTTTACAAATCCAAAGCTTGGGACAAGAGCATAAAAGGTCCCTTCCAGCCAAAGTAGAGATTGTCATTTCCCTTTCAACATAGGGATACTTCGTTTCAACAACAGGGGCATCGACTGGAGACCCACCTATTGGGGTTGTCTTCACACTAGTTTCATCCAAACATTTAGACCCTGCTTAGCAGGTTAGATCTGCAAAGAGAAGACAGAGAGGGATGTAAGTGCATTAGGATTGACCCAAAGGTATTTTTCATGACGGAAATTACTTTGCCGACTTGTTTTGATAATGGCATGGACACGTATGTTACAAAAATTAATGTAGGAAGTGTTAACATTTCGACCCTGAGCTGCGCCATAAAAATTGTCCTACGTTTTCCCAAAACCAGTTCAGAAATTTTTTTAACACACGTTCCTTTTATTACAAACCGATGTGGATAATGTTAGAGTGTTTAACGTTACACTGCATTTTACTGCGGGACGCACACATATCTTATTTTGCTGACTAAAATGTCTATCCAGAGAAAATTATCCTGAACTGCCGGCCTTTGGGAACCCTTCAGCGCAGAAATAAAATAGGAGCAGATTTTTGCCGTATTTGGTGTCAATTTTCAGTTATAAACAAGAACAGAATGACTCTAAGCAAGTTCGTCTCTGGAGGATTGCTAGAGGGTGTGTGTGTGTGTTTGTGTATAAAGACAATCTTTCCCAACAGTGCAGCATGTTCTGCTGACGCAGCGCGGCTGGAATAAAGTGACAGATCGTGGCACAGTGGAGGCAATGCCCCAGGGAATGCAGGGAGCACTGGCAGGCTACCAGGAAACGTGACACACACCGAGTCAAATGGATTCACTCTGGCAACACTCACCCAACACTCAAAAAGCACTGCATCCAAAAACCTGCTCTTAACCTCTGACAGCATACCATATGAAGAATTTGCTACTACTAGAAAATACTGCTTGATTTTTTAATTGTATTTCATCCTATGAACATAGACGGTGTCCAGGAAAAATTGGCTGGAATCTTCATTTATACAGTTCTTACAGATTTAATCAGCAAATTTGGTTTGCCTTTTAATCCTCTGACCAAAGAGGACGAATTATCTTATTTATTTTTGTATTTCTTTACTGCATGATCTCAATGATTTACAATGTTAATTAGTTTTAAAATAAATTCAACAGCCACTAGGGGCAGAAGAAGTCAGGAAAGGTGGCATTAATTTTAGGTTTGATAATTAGAAAGAACTTCTCCAACTGTTGAATATGATCTTACAGCCCTAACAGTCTTCCCTGATTCAGTTTGTCTCAATTTGACTTCAGCATCAGATTCTATAGCTCTCCGGGACCACCTTCGATAACTTAATAACTCTCAAACAAATAAAATTTCCTGTCACAAAAAATTAGCACACGCTCATACAAAGCACTGCATTACAGGCGAGTGTGCTGTTATTGTGTGAAAATGACTCATTACTTTTGCACAGATTTACAGAGGTGAAAGCTCATGTGAGAAGAGTGATGGCAGTCAGCGGGTATTTGATGCATTTATTTAATGGAGTGAGAGGTCAGCATTGCTGTGCAACCTACATCCCCTCTGTAGACAGACAGGGTGAATATTGAATTGAATATACTTTATTGACTGGTGCACTGTGACAGCTGTGATTGACAGACTTCAAGTCCCTGAGGGTTCGTGTATGTACAAAGAGTGAGAAGAAGAAGACGAGAGGGAAGTCATACATACCTCAGAGACTTCCATCGGTCTTTTTCCATGTTGTTCTCAGGACCTTCGCTCTCGTATGATGCCAGATACAACGCTGGAAAACAAAGCGTCTACATGATGATAAGAGCTTAGGTTGCATTTGATGCAAAAAGAATAGTGTGAGAAGTCTGTGCACTTGTGTAACCTACATCGCTTTGGGAGAACTCGGTTTGTGAATAAAGAGGCAAAGCTGATTTCACCTACTTCTGAAAAGATTTTGTATTTACAAATAATTTACTTTTCTGAAATTGGAATCATACACTCGTACCTGATAGGTTAGTTTAGATGCTGCGCTTCAATGTCAGGAAGATTTCATAGAGTTCTGTGTCTGCTGGATAGGAGCACGATAAGAGCTGGAGCCGATGACACACGACTTTGATGTGGATTAAAGGAGGTGGAATCTATCAGCGCTGCTTCAGTATGAGAGGTGATAACTGGGTGTGCCTGGATTTTAGGCTTAGTGGGAAACTAAGTCCTTCTGTTGTCTGCTGTGTTTGATTTAATTTTTTTTAGTTTTCTTTCATTCAACGACAAAGTATGTCATCATTGCACATTTACACTGTTTATGAACCATCGTGTTTTTGTCCACACTTGAGGACAATCATGCAATTTATTATACTGCTTCTTTACTGAATTGAATTAAATGTTTTTTATATATAGTTGTCATTAATGGACTTAAGTGTCCATTTTATTTGTCAGTTTATTTACATCTTTATAGATTTATTCTAACAATAATCTGCAAGGCTACGTGAACTTACTAATAAGAATGGAAATTGGCAGAGAGACCAAGAAAAAGCTAAAATAACATTACCCTTTCCATTCTGCACCTACATCAGGATCAGCATGCTTTATGGAGCGTGGCATGAAACCCAAAATGTAAAACTCAACTTAAAATGTTCAGTGAGCTATAAATCTCCCCTCCCAAACAGAATATGGGAGATCTAAGATCTGGTTCAATTATGCAACTGGATGCTGTCATTATTATGTATTTACAATCTATTAACTTAACAGAGACCTTTAATAAACTCACCATCCTCTGTGAAGACTGGAGCTGTCAGCAGGTACTGCAGGATCTTGCGATCCTTCTCAAATGGACACTCCACTTGCTTCCAAGTCATAAACTCACTAACTTGCTTGGCGAGTTCCCAGAATTTCTGAAACACAGTATTCCCTACAGATTAACGTTAAAGAACATACTTGTTTGTAAGCCTTCAAGATAGTCCTCAAGCTTCAGACTTTGGCATTTTAGCTGCTATCGCACTGCAATCTCAAGGCTTTCCACAAAGAAGCTCAGTGGCGTAAAATGTCAGTGTGGTTAGCATCAGCAACTCTGGGCGGATCAAATGTTCAAATATAGTTTAAAAATGTCATAACAGGGATGGACAACAATGGGTAGAATGAATTCACAGAATAGGATGAATTCTTTAAATAGTGATTGATTCATTGTACGTGTGTGATGAAACACAAGTGGAAATTAATACTGGTTAACTGGTCATGGAAACAGCAGAACTTCAAGCAGTAAAGTCTTACTTCCCCATTATCTAACAATGTTTAAGGAAGTGGTCATAAATAACACTGCAGTTGTTGCCATGTGTAGTAAATATAGTGATATTCTCTGACAAAATAAGTCACATGAGTGGAAAATTGAAAAAAAAATTGGGAAATCAGTTGCTGTGGAAACTCCCTTTGGGGGATTTCAAATTCAGTTTACCTCAAAGTTGACTTGCCCGTTCTGCAGCCTGTTGGCACATCCCTCGTTGAGGAAGTATATGTCTTTGATGAGCAGGCTAAAGAAAGGGATAACAATCTGTGGGACAACAGAAAGTGAAATGGATTTAATTTCACTGAAGATGTCTGGGGATTTCCATGTGACTCACAGATGTTTGCATGTTTGATACAACTATCCGGTAAGGTGAAACTTAACAAAGAGACGTTGTGTCATCTCGTTTGATTTAACGGAAACACCAGACTCTGTTCTGATCACAAACAATTTTAAAATAAACAGGAAACAGAAAGTATACAAAAAGGTGAATTCAATAATAGAGGCTGGACTAAAAAAGGTCCTTTTACAGAGATTACCAGGAGAATTCCCCAATACAAGTATACTAAATAAGTCATCACCTGCCTGAAGTAGGTCACTGCACGTCAACCCACTCATACTGATGTTTTTGTGGAGGACTAATCACAAGACTCCATTGAAATAACAGTATCTTTTTCGTTGCGAAGATTTGTCTCCTCAAGTGCAACAGCAGTGATCAGGTGACCAAGATTTATCAGCTGATGTTACCACGCCTGATAAACACCCAACAGTTTCCCCCCTATTCAGGATGCAGCAGGGGTAAAATCACTGTTGGGTGTTTATCAGCTGACACAGTGACCTAAAAAATTCTGTGTCACCTCTTTCCTGACAGTCCCAACACATCCCCAGCCATCAAATATTCATGGTGCTGATGCTTTTAAAAGATGGCACCAGAGGAAAACCAGCCAACTGAGCTCTCCGTCTTTGTGTATTACTCAGTCAGTCATGCTGAATGGGTTTGGATAAACCACACCTGCCTTTCTTTTTGTTTTTTTTATTTCTTTTCACAAGATTGTTTTGACAAGCCTCTTTTCTCTGCACTTTGCCAACTTGATTTGTAGGTTTATTTTTGTTGATCTGAACCTCCAAAACAGTCTCAGAATTTTGGAGCAGCTGACTTAACAAGGCCTAGCTGAGTTCAAGTCTGAACAAATTGTACGTTGACAAGTCCGTAGGGGCATGATGCCGTTTACAAGGGCCTTTTTGTGTGCTCTGAGGACTTCTGTCACACATGCTTGGACATCCGTGCGCGCATGTCCCTTTTAAAGAGGGAAAAAAACGCACAGCAGGGGCACAAGAGAAGTTGTTTTCACAGTTGGGTAGAAGGGCTGGGGTAAATATATACTGTCCCCAACAAATCCAGGATGTGGGAACTAAAGCAGAATAAATCAACACACCATCACTTCTTTGTATTCAGATGTGCCAACTGCCATAATTTAGTCTTATTTTCCTAAGATGAAAATTAAAGAAAAATAAATCGAATGAATAATTGGCAGCAATTTATCATTTTTCACATCTGATTTCTAAAATGTGTATTAGAGACAGAATGCTGAATTTACTAACTGGAATAAACTCTACATTCCATTTAGAGAGCAGTTGCTACCCAACCAAATATTAGATCCACCAAGTCTGTTTTAGGTCAGCTGTTTGGCATTTTGTTCAAATGTATTTTCATACAAAAGATTAAGCACAGAGCAAACTGTTGGATGGATTAAATCTTCCCGTCCTCACAGTTAAACACACCCTTGGCTAAAATGAAACATGTTGGCTTTATTGATCCCCTAACAAAGTCAGCAGCTCAGCAGGTGCCTGGAGGGGGCCATAAACAAACCCTCACCCTTTCTTAAAGGAGAAGTCACCAGCAAGAACTACCAGACGTCTTGGGAACTTTAATGATCCTGACCCTCTTGTACTAAAATGTTTGCATATCTTGGCTCCAAAAAAGCATCTTGACAAACATCAGGGAGCCAAATAGAAAGACAGAACACTAAGTCTCCATCAAAAACAAACTTACTATTTCAATATGTAATGACGTGGGGTCATACTGACCACGGGCTCCAGGGTGGATCATATTTGGTCTGGGCAGACGGTACAACAACCAGCAGAGAACAGTATGTGATCTGGCAGATTGCCATGTTTTCTTTGTACTCCAAGCATGTTTGATGAGGAGGAAACTAGGACCCTCCTTGCATCATAACCCACATAACTGAGTCTGTGTCCACTCTGAACTGCCCTGTTATGCAACCTCCGCCTCCATGTCCAAGTGCTCAGTACAGACTGCTGATGAAGTAAACATGATGGGAACGCAGTGCGCAGGCAAACAAGAAGCTGCTTTTTTGTTTTTTTCCTCCTCATTTGCCTCAACATTAAGCTTTTTCCTTAAGTTTGAAATCTCAGTACATAGGAAATAAAGGCAGTGAGATAATCATTGCCACTTTTTACATAATAATCGGCTTTGTTGCTATGGCAATACATGCCACCACAACTCAACACTGTTTAGGGCAGCATCAGTTGTTCTCAAGCTATTAAAAATACAAACAAAGCCCAGATAAGACAGTATGATTCAGAGCGAGACTGAGACAAATGTATGCAAAATTTAATTTGGAGGATGCAGGATAATTTGAATTCATTTGAAGAATATGTATTCTTTTACACATGTTTTAGCTCCTTGGTCTGTTGGTTTGAAAGGAGTGTTAATTGGCTTTTTGGCAAAGGGGAGTACACAAAGATAAACTAACACAATAAGACAGGCTTAGCCTAAAACCTGACTTGGCTTCCCCTGGGGTGAGGTTCCATTACTAAAATGAATATCAGAAAACACAAATATTCATAAATAACCCCTTGCAAACGTGGATGCATTGTGGTGGTGACCGAGTCCCTTTGTAAGGGCCTCACCTTCTCTCTGCTGCTGTTAGCTGTGATTGACCTCTGTGTGGCCCCTCTCAGTGCTGTTCTGTAGTTATAGAAGTTACTAGAAGGATCCATCTGGTGCTGTTAAGAGAAAAGGATACAGAGTTAGTTTGGGAACAATCTACCTTTTGGTAACCTCTGACAGGTGCATGGGTGTTTTAAAGCTCTTATAAAGCTCTTTCAACTTTAAAAGGACAACCTGTTAGTATTCACTATTAATGAGCAACAAGATATAAAAATACTATCGAGTCTGCGTGAAAGTTCAGGATTTACTTCTGTATGCTTTAAAAGATATGAACGGAGAAGTAGGTGAAAATCGTGAAAGGGATCATACTGAAAAAAAAAGCAAAACCCACGTTTGGAGAATAATGTTGATGATCTCCAGTGACACGTCATAGACCCGAGGAAGTTAAGACTTTGAAAATCTTTCAGGTCTAACAAAGTCAGAGCGTGAGTCATCAGATCTTGCATTTCAAAGGGGGACGACCGAGAGCCTGTTGGGGTCAATGAACCTGCATGCAGGTTTAACAGACACGAAGTGGAGCATGGGAATGTTATGGGATTTGTGTCTGCATTTGTCCTGATCGTGTGGCTTCCTGACTCCAGGGTTCCCTTTCACTCCTCTACCACCCTGAAGTCAACATGCTTAGCGTTTAATGCGGTGCCATCTAGGATCATTTATTCTGTTCTTTGAGTTTTAGATTAAAGTTAAGCACAGAGGGGTTCGAGGGCCAAACTTTTCAAAGAGGACTCTAAAGACTTCTGTAAAATAAAAGCATCCAATACATGGAAACGGTTATGCTAAAGTTCAGGGCTTCACTATTCTGCAGTGTATATGTAGTAGGTGATTAGAATTAAATTATCGATTGTGAATCAAAGCTGACCTCTGCTCTTCCTCTAAGCTCTCTATATAACGACATTCAGCTGGTTAATCACACAACACTGGAAATAACAGAGGAAAACCCTACACAGACCCAAAAACAAATCCTTAAAAAGGTTAGTCATCAGTCACGAATACAAAAACAGAGCTGCTAAGTGTGGGGGGACATTTTAAAAAAGGGAAGAGCAGATCCTTTATAATACCCACATTTGTGATCTTTTAAAAAATCAAATGATAAACTTCTGTCCTGTAAAGGACTGTGAGGAAGGTGCTCACCTCTAAGATGTCAAACTTGGCCGTTTTCACTTTACTCCAGGTCTTTTTTAGCCTCGACACAGGGCTCATGTTCATCCCAGCTGCAAGGCGAAAAAACATACAAAGACAATGAGACAGATTTCGCACATCTGAGCAAACACCCAAACATCATTGCAGTGACACATGGCATTTTCCCCACTGAACCAGACAGACGCACATCCCCCCTCCACCTTTCCTCCATCGTCAATCGCCCTGCCCCCCCATCTCTTTTCTTTCTATATGCCATTTCCTCTGATGGAGTGAGACACAAGGACTGGAGAACAATGGAGTTAACACACGCCTCGTTTCCCCATCCAGAGCTCTGCTTCCCATATGGTAATATTGTGTGTGTCTCACACACACACACACACACACACACACAACCTCACTATGCAGGCTCAAGCATCAAGGGGTTGCCACCTTCAGAGCTCACCAAAACAAAAGCAACCTTGGAGTTATAAAAACGACTCCAATCCATTATATATTTAAAACTCCCTATACCTACCAAACAAGAGTTTAGATTTTATGTGACATAATCACTGCAGGGTCGCACTGAATTAGTGTAACCACAATAGCGTGCAAAAAACAAATGTCTGAATGTACATCACATAGAAAAATCCATCTAAACTGTGATAAAAGAGGCTATATCGGGGATGGTCTCTCTTTGTAGAACACAAAGGAGAGCAAATGATTGGGACCCCTCTTTAGATTTGCTCTCTTAAAATGGATCAGATCAGCCCAACTTGTGGTTCTTATATTCTGATAACACAAGCATCACTATGTCTGATTTTAGCAACTTAATGTACAGAATTTTGTGAAGCAAAAACATTAATTTTTGGTGTACTTTTTCCCAAAATGTTTTATTCTTGCTGATGTTTTTATTCCTAATAAGTGTTAATAAGATTTGCTTTGTAAAGGAAAATAAATCAAAATAAACTATGTAGTTAAATTAAAAAATGTGCTGTCAGGAGGAAGCAGCCTAAGAGAACAAAACTTGTGCAATGTCTAGCCCCAGTGGTTCCCTGGAGATGGGGATGGGGTAGACAGATTTGCCTGCGGCAATCTCTCCTGCCCCAGGGGACAGAGGCCCAGGACAGCTGGCACTGAAAATATTCTCTTCTTTCCACAACCTCCCATCATCCCTCCTCCATTGTGTGCTGTCTATCTGGTCAGTTCAGACCATCTGCTTGGATGGGTTTGCTCCGAGCCCCCTTTCAACAGCCGCCCCCCCCCCCTTTATGCTTCTCCCTTTGCGGTAGACAGAAAGATCTCAGACTCTCCACTACCCCTAAAGCCTGTCAGAGTGACCACTTTCCTCTCAGTGTAGACAGCATCTGGGATCCCTGTGGGAAAAAAAATCAGCTAGTCCCCCAGCAAGGTCTTCCCACTGTCTAAGGAGCTTTAGGACCCTGTGTGTACCAACCAATGGAATATCAATTTAATCAATTTTCAAGGATTTCCCCTGTATGGTAGATTTTTAAGTTAGCTTTAAATAACCTCAGCCACACCACACACCCTCAAATCAAAATCTGATGAAGAGATTTTTTTCTCTTCATAGGAAATAAAAAGTCATGATATGATATTAAACTAAAAGCAAAGACCAGCCATCAAACTTAACTGAGAGGGGAGGAAAAAGATACTCACATACGATGGCCATGAGAGAGTTGAAGTTGCCAATGTTGAAGCATTCACGCGCCACATCGATGAAGAATTCGATTACTCGAGCTCGGTGCTTCTTCTTTATAGGCTGTTAACAAAATGGAGAGCATAAGAAAACTGAGGAGTAAAGGCATTCTGCACCGGGAGAGGAGTTTGCTGGAACTAGTCTGTAGCACTGAAAAGGGTATTATCATTTTGAGAGAGAATGGCTGGTAAAACACTCTGTAGTAAGATCTTCATTTATTTTGGGCTGTGAATTAGTATATTTTCATCCTTTAGTCCAACAAATGATAGATAAAACATTTTAAGATAGTTGTAAAAAATATTCAACATTCATTTGACCAGTTTGCAGTTTGTCATATCAAAGATTTTTTGGGATTTATAATGTCCCTTTGGGAACATCTCATCTGGTCATTATTCTGCCTCGGGTTTGTTATTTGTAATAAGAAACAACTTCCTGTTTGTTACTCACCATGCAGATCTCTGTAGCCACAAGATAGCTAAGTCTGTTGAACCAGTCGACGTAAGCTTCCAAGTTGCTGGCCTTCTTGTGATCACTGAAACAATTCTGGAACAACAGACTTCAAATTAGCACTCAAGCTAATTGCAATGCAAAATAATAGTGCTGAACTGGAGAATAAAGCTGATATTTTCTCCTTTTCCTCCTTTTAAATCAGTGCATCACTGAGCATACAAATAAATTCTTGGCCAAGTGGTCCTGCAGAGCCAAACTCACTCAACTTCACTCTGCCACTCAGGACAATAGTGGCCAATGCTGTTCACATTTTGCATGCTGGTTCTTTGTGGAGATTCCCCTTGATCTAATTCCACACATTCCTTTGGCCTTAAGCCACTTGCCCCCATGTAGCATTGCCTGCCAGAGGACATGTTTTGAAATGCTAAAACACAGTCATTTCTCTTTAAGTGGATTGCTGGGGGTACGAGGCAGAGTATCCTCATGCACAAAGACAGCCCTACACCCTCTTCTCCCCCACTAAAAAAAAGCAAAAAAAAGCATCTGTTGCCAAGCAGCAGAACGCCAGGCAAGAGAACCCATGTCCTGAAACACAAACCCCCTTCCCCAGGACTCTTTGCAGCTGTGGTTGCTAGGAGATGAATTGCACACATGACTGTCTAATCCAGACACTGGGATGATTTGAAAAAATTGTCAGTAAGGTGTGTCTGAGTGAGTGTCTCTTGTGTGCAACAGAAGAGGATATATGGTCTGCTGTAGCCTGAAATATCAACCCTCACTGACTTGTGTAGTAGCCAGTTACTGTGATGTGTAAACTCATAATCTATCTGGAGGAGAAACTGGTCCATCCGCCTTCAAACCCACTGCAGACAGACAAATCAAGTCTGTATACAAAAGTACAGCCAGGAAAAAGATTGCATAACCCTCGCATATTCTTCCTTATCTCCATGCAAGTGTATTTTTAGAAGAACACGCAGACATTACCTTATCATTGTCCAGGGGGTCTTTCTGGACGAATGCCTGCACAAATTCTTCAGGTCCAATGTAACTCAGTCTCTCCTAAAAAGCAAAAATCCATTTTAGGCTAACTGTAAAAATCAAAATACACATTTTATGTGGTAGAACAAAAACACTTTCTCACCTGACAACTTTTTTTTGTTTGATATTTTAGTTGACATGTATAATCAGCCATTTAGAATCAGAACTGTTGACGGGCCAGGTGTGAAAGGAGATGTTGGGCCAAGTTCTGTTCTCCTCAACCACCAAACAGATTTCTCTAACATGTGCCTCCCTTTGTTGTTGATCTAGTTTTCCCTCTTTGGATTTTGTGACATTGTGAATTTGAGTCATTGGCAGTGTATCTGATTGTACCTTTAACTGGGAAATATTTGTCTTACTGTGCACTCAAGTTAAAACATTATTAATTTGTGTAAACAGATTTTTAAAATTGATGAAGTCAACGAAGGGCCTCGTCTGGCACTTTTATCTGGGGTGCAGTATTCTTAACAAAGACCAAATACATCCACATAAAGAGTAGGAAAAAGTGAGCTCTCACCAGCTCTATGTCTGTGAGCTGTTGGGCAACAGTGAACGGGTCATTGCAGATAGACAGCAAGTCTCTTTGTATCGCTGCCTGGGGTTTCGCCTTCAGAGCTGTGAGTCGCTCTGCCGCTGTGGTGTTGATCTTCACCAGTGCCTCCTCGTACTGGCTGAGCACCGTTAGCCTCCTGATCAGACCCTGACTCAACTGAGCAACCACCTTCCTGTACACCTGATTGATGGAAAGGCGGGGAAAAAGTAAGAGCAGAGATTAATATTATGACTTGTTCTGAAAATCTTTCTTTCAGTCACACACTGGAAAGGTCACGTGCAACATTTGCAATGTTACACAAGTCTGTTTTTGTTAAGAAGGCCATTTACGCAAAAGTGGGGCAGAGCAGAGGCTATTTCATTCATTGTCTGTGACTAAAGAAAGGCACGTTTAGATACTTGTTCTAAGACTGACACAGTGTAGCCAAGAAATAGCATTAGATGATCCACATGGGACACATGGGGGGGGGGGGGTTAGGTTTCCTTAGTTAGGTCCTTAGTAATTCCACCAAAGCCTATAAAGGCTACTAATAGCTTCAATAATGGTTTTATTTGCAAACGAATAATGAATATTTACCATTTTAAAGCAAAAGAATGTGATAAACCTGCATCCAAACAAACAATAATAATTTAGAAGGAAACACTAAACTCCACCATGCTCCTTCAGAGTTGGACAACATTAAGACATGCCACCAGTGAAAATCTCTCCAGTTGCTACTTCAAAGTCAACCATCTGTTGTAGCTTCTGTCGCTACTACAAACAGAGGACATGCTGGGGTCAGATAAAAATAGACATACAAGTTAGAGACAGCACGCCTGCCATGTCTCAGCAGAGGAAGACACATTTGCCCATCACAACTACTATTGTCAGGAGTGAGGGAGCTAAACAGGGCAACACCATTCCTTTAAATAGGAACCCGGGCAGCAATCCTAAAGTGGCAGACGACTGGCCAATGCAAGTCATCTCTACCGAGTGTATAGCTGGTTTTTAACATCATATTGTTAGAGCTTATGTTACTCTTGGCTCAGTGGTATAATTGTGAGGCACCACCTGACTGAAATTAGTATGTTGTTTTTAGCCGTTTAAAACAAGTAGCACTAACAAGCAGATAGTAAAAGGAAGACTGGGTAAGATTATTTCATCAGGAAAAGGTTCATAATGGCAAGTCATGACATAGAGGAGAAATTGTCCTATAAACCCACAGACATTATAAGCGTTGAGGATTATTGACCTGTAACCCGAAGTCGAATTGATTAGTCACCGTTGTTCTGGATAATTCCTAACTAAGTGAAATGGAAGTCTCAGATACTTAAAATATTACATGAAAAGACTTGTTCACAAAAAACTAAATAGATTATGTTGCATCATATTAAAACTTTTCATGAAACCTAACATAAAATACAAACTGCCCATTTGAACCAAATTGTGAACAACAATTAAATAACATGAAATGAAGATCCCAGTGCTAGTTCCTTTCTAAGCTGCTTACTTATATAACTAACCACATCCATAATGACAGTCTTGCTACAGAGATTGAGGTTTTGCCATTTTTTCAGTGGTTTTGGAACAACGTTGAGCAGATGTTCAGAGCATCTATTCTAGACTCAATTTCATTCCCAGAGAACTGTGGCTGATGTTCTGAGGAATCAGCATCTAACCCAGATGATCAGACTTACTTATGGTTTTGCACTGTTGCTTTTCTTCCAAATAGGCCTCATACTAAGTGAGGAAAGGTCTTTTGTTGTCAGACAAGTGCTTCCATACACTTGAACAAGATTTTTAAGACATGTCACATTAGGAGAGTCAAAATCTCATTTTTGTTTTCATAGGGTATTGTCTGTGGAAGTACAGAAAAATAGATCACAACATTTTCATCTTAACTGGAGGCAATTATAGAGCCCGTGACCAGAGTTTCCAAGAAAACAACTCATTTGTAAGATGGGTCACGTTGAGCAAATAGTGAGCCATGTGCTTGTATGAATACCACAACACAACACTGCAGGGGGTTTAGATGTTGTTGTTCATTCAGTATAGTTCCCACAATTGGACTTTTTGACCTTTTCTCACATCTTTTTTGTTGTTCCACATTCTAAGGAAGAATTTTGCAAACTATATACAGCAATAAGGATAAAATCAGGTTAAAAAAAAGATAATCAGACCGTGGTAGTGGTGACTAAAACAAAAATTACAGTAAGGCACTGCTACACTATCACCTTAAAGTACCTCTTCTCTGTCTTGTCTTGCCTTGATTTCAAGCATGAAATCATGCATTCCATGGAATCTTATGATAATCAGTTAAAGAGAGACCAGCATATATTCAATATAAGTAATCGTCAGAGAGAAGCTGTCAATGCAGTTTGTCTTCTGTGAAAGCAAAAGATCTGTGAGACCATCTAAACACAGTGTGTGTTTGAGCATAACTTGGCGAGTGTGTACATGTGTTTCTCTTAAGCATGTTACACCTCTATGGGCTACACGAGGAGAATGTCCAAGTGTCAAGTGAGAATGTATTGATTCTGAAATTAAATCAAGATCAATACTTGTGCTCAAATCACTTTGAAAAGTCATAGGAGGCCGTTCTGAGTGGGGAAGGCTTCTATCAGGACATGCAGATGTTTGTCTCCTCCATCAGTCTGGTCTTAACAAGTTCCCCTTTAATAATTTAAAGCAACACTATCACCAAAATACTGAATTGATTTGGACATAAGTATTTCCAAAGCTCAGTGAAGAGAAATGTTAGTATTTTGGAGTTAGGTTTAGCTCATGCTAGCTTTAAAATATAAATTATTCAAAATGACACATTGCATGAGTCATAGCCTGTTAAAACAACACTTTCTGAATGCAAAAAAAAAACCCAAAAAAGGGTGAGCACTCTCAAACATAACAGACACTATTAAAAGAATGTGCAAACCCGCCAAACCATGCAGCAGAGGCTAACTTTGCACTAATCCAGAAACAGTCAGCTCTTCTGCAGCAGAACAATTCAAAATGATGTAGCACTCAGGGATGACAAAAACCCACCAAACCTATGAACAATGGGGCCTTTCTTCACCCAGCCAGCTTAAAAAACTGCTTTGTTGCCACAGACACCCCCTGTCCCAATGTGCAAAAATGTGCCTGTAGTTTGTGCACATGCATCTGCACAAAAGCACCACACTGTTGAAACCAAGTAAACTAAACATATCATCACCTAATCAGTATCATGTCTTTAGCTAATGTTGGTTTAGCCTTGTTATTACATTTTAAAGAGTCATGTGAGGAAAGAAAAGGGCTCAGACTGACCTCGTCTCCACTTGCAAGCCGATGGGTCAGCTCCTTCAGGCTGCGCATCATCCTCTCATCCCTAAAGTCATATGGAAATGTTTCTGTCCACTCTGTGAGCAACTGGAGGATCTTAGGAGTAATCTTTCTGACTCTCAGCTGAAATTGTATAGAGAGTATATACTGAAGAAAGTGTAAAACAGGATAGAGTAGATGCAAATATTCAAGTGCAGGATCCTGAATACCTTCTCAGCCTGAGGATCGCCAAGTCGCTGTTGCTCGGTGCACAAGTGATACACTTTGGACATGAGTTCATATGGGTGAATGAAGAGGCGAGAACTTAGCAGGAAGGTGAAAATATATGTCCTCTGTGCAAACCAAACAATTAGTTTAGTCAACAAGGCTGTTAAAGATTACTGATTGATTTAGGTTATAAAAAAGAAAAATCAACAAAAGTTATGAAAATAAGAGTGAGGGAGTAACACTTTTATTCCCTGCGAAAAAAAAACAGAATTCATGGAAGAAAGCAAAGGGAGAAAATGAAAACAGTTTCTCATTGCAACAGAGTTCCTCAAGACAAAATAAAAAGAAGAAAATGTCCCAAGTTTTATTAGACTGAAAAGAAAACAGAGCCACAATAGACTGAAAGACAAAAAGTGTACCAAAAGAAGACTACATAACACTCACATCTGGGTAATAGTCCACAGTTGGTACCAAGTGGTGAATGAGTGCCTCCAGCGAGCCAGACACAAGGTTGTTGTCATGGTAATACAGTCCAGGATAGCCGCCTTCCTTGGTCTGGTACAAGTTATTGTTGATCCCACTGGTGTTCAGCTGCCCTGTGAATGGTGGCGTCTGTGGCATATTGTCCTGAAAAGAGGGGAAACACGGTCAGTACCTCACCGTCTCTAGGAGAGAAATTTAACTGCAGATGTTGATGGTCAAACAATTCGGAAATAGCCTCCAGACACAAACACAAAATGCTGGAGGTTTGTTTGAGTAATGGTTGCACACAGTCAACACACCCTTTCCTCTTCTGGACATTTTAAGGTCTCTGGTTTTCTAGGATGAGAATAGAACACCAAGTAATTTGAATTACAAACAAGCATTTTGATTTCACATGAAACTGACCTCTTAACCATGGAAGTGTAAGTGATTTGTCCTCAGCCACCAAACAAAACTCTGTTGTTCAAGTGCATAAATCATAAATCCAGACAACATAAATCCAAACTAACCAATAAACACACATTTCTCTGTATAATACATGTTTTACCACAAAATAATTGTAATTTATTCACATCATTGGGATGAAAAATGTGTTGTTGGGAAATGAGAGTGTATAATTAAAGGTTTGTCCGCACAAAAAGCCTAAAACTGAAAGTACACCAAAAACGTGCTCATGCACAAGATCCTAGGCCAGACTGAAGCCCTCAAGGATGTCATGACTGTTGTTTCACCCTGGAATCATACAGTATGGTCACGATGTCTGTTCACTTCCTTCGCGATCATGTGTGTGCATGAGGAATAGGAAAGTGTGTGTGCAAAGGAGATAGAAAACTTGTGGAAGAGGTTGCGTGCTCTGTGAGATGTATAAATCAACTCATTTGTCAACATGTGCCAGGAAATCATTGCTTTGGCAGTAAATTAAAAGATTAGTCTCAGAAATGTTGTTTTTTTCCCCCATCCTTAAAATGCAACTTTGACAATTGCTTCTGCATTCCAAATGTTTGATTTTCAAATACGAAGGTTTGAATGCATTAAAATGGCAGAAACACTGGGTGTGATCAAATATCCAAATGTCCATCAATCCATCCATTTTCTGAACCACTTATTCCCAAATGGGGTCCTGGGGTGTGGGGGGGACTGAAGCCTATCCCAGTATTCAATGGGCAAGAGGCAGGGTACACCCGGAACGGTCCGCCAGCCCACTGTAGAACCACATATATAGAACCACAAAGAGTAAAAACCATGCACACTCACTCCTAAGGGACATCTGGAATGGCTTATCAACCTAATATGCAGGTTTTTGGACAGTGGAAGGAAGCAGACGCAGGGAGGACGTGCAAAGTCCACACAGAATGGTCTCACTTCCCCACCACACCACCGTGCCATCCAATACCCAAATGTACTAAATGCTTTCCTGCCAGTAGAATTATGAATTATGAAACTAAAACTTCAGACTCAAGCCCAAAACTCAACTTCCCTCTACTCCATACCATGCTTCCAGCCTTCTGACCTTTGAACTTGCATTGAAGCTCCCTCTAATGCCAGGCAGACTTAAGGCTCTGGGAACACAAAGGGCCCTTTACACTGGAGGGGGGTTGTCACACAATGTCCAACAATCTCACCCCTTTATGCCCACACACACAAACATACCTCCTTGATAATATGCTGTCCCATGGCTGCCTGCCAAATGTGAAAGCCTTTATGGCTGACGCACTGCAGTGCTGCCAGGAATGGATTCAAAAGATGCCAGGAGGAATAAACTGCACCTGCCCACACACTGGAACAAATAGCTCAAATTAATTTGTGTTATTTCCATTGGATGCAGCAAAAGCTTAAAAAAAAGAAACAAGAGTATAATTTCAAATGATCTACCATAAATGTGAAGACAAGAGTGACTCAGTTTTTTTTTTCGTGGTCTTAAAGTTTTCATTTATTCGTGAGCAATTATGCTCTCAAACACGGCTTCTGCATATATAGGCAAACCATGCACACTTCCTCCTCCACACACACGTTGCTCCACACAAACTAAACATTTGCATTAAACCAGAGTACCATGGCTATTTCCATGAGAATAGCACTGTGGCCCCAGCATCTGAGGCATCATGTGGCTTTCCTTCAGAGACAGTGAGCTCATAAGTGTGATACAAAAAAAAGGAGAAAAAAAACTAGGGACATTCTATTAATGGCAGCCTCAGCTATGTCAGGGAAAAGGGAATGACTGTTGTGCTTCTGAGCACAAAGCGCAAAGTGGTGAATACCTGTGAATCCAAAGGTTTTAAAAAGTACTCTGCTGAGGGTTTATATTAGCTTTATTGTTTGGTAAACAAAATGGTTTCTTTCTCCAGACAACTAACATTCATAAAGCTGCCCTGTACACAACATTGAGTTAATATGACAAAAAGCAGGTGATGGAGTGGTGAGAACTTGACTCTTTCCCTTTTCTGGGATCCAGACAACAAACTTTCTGAACTAATTTGTGCTTTTGTGGCCATTAGGTCATGTTCATAGGAGGGATCACTAAGAGTCCCAATGAATATCAACTACTGGACAGCCAATGATAAACAAACAATCAAAAGAGGATTTCTAGGGCTATGTCAATCTCAAGACACCATATCCAGTTTTTTTCTCAAATATATTGGTGTAACAATTAAGTCCCTCAGATTGTGTTGTTTTTAAATATTTTGCAGTCATGGACTCTGATTAAATCAAGGTAATATATGTGACATTCTAGACATTTATCCAAATTATGCAGATATGTTGACCCTAAAACTTCCCTGCAAGACATCTCAAATTAATTTGCATGCACATTCTATTATGCAAAAACCTAATACTGCCACAAGTGCCATTTAAGTTTCTTTATTCTTACTCATCACCAGAAGTTTTTGAAGAAATGTTTTAAGACCACAATCTCCCTGGGGTATTTGTAGATCAAAGTGGCCCCTAATACTCTACTTTAACCCTTTTATAACTCTTTCTTATATCAGTGCATGATTTTTAGTAACTAGCAAACACACATCCGCACAATTTCATTCCATGACGTCTGAATCATCTGCAAACAAAAACATAACTATTATTTTAAACTGCAAATATTGGGGGCGGCATGCAGTAGTGAAGGTTTTGCCAGTTCATTAAAATTTTTGCAACAAAATCCCCACCATCATCTCCGCACTTGGAGCCAGGAGGGTCTGAACGCACCAGCTGCAGCCTGCGCCATAATCCCAAAAACAAAGCTTGGGATGCTTACATGCAGTGACGACTGAGGATCAGTGATTTTCATTTGGCTTCCAGGTGTCAAACCCAGTAGCAGCAGTGGATGCAGGGACCACATGTCGAGTCCACAGACCTGACAAAAATAAACCTAGCACATTGCTGTTGGTTTAGCTTGCCCACTGGTTGGGTGGAAGCAGAAGGTAAACAAACAAAAATCCATGGCTTGCCTGACAAAAAAGTAGGAGGAGGGGGACACACTGGATAGACACTTTCAAATATAGATCAACAGCATTAAGACAGCCATCTGTCTTAATGTGTAAAATGGCCAAGTACCGACTTAAAGAGGATTAAGTAAATAAAAAGAAATTGAAAAATGAAAAAACAAAAAGACTTATTAAAGGGGTCACCTCATAACTATAAGAAAGACTCAAAGCTCCATCTTACATGCAGTTTTATCTCCAGACCTGTAGAACCATTAATGACACAAGCATGCAAGTAAATTTGGTCTCTCCTTTGTTCAAAATACAAGTACTTAAAGAGCCTACTAGGATACCTCCTCCCCTGCCGAAACTGTTAATGACTGTTCGTGATGAGCACCCATCAACAGCTGACAGGCCCTAAAGAAAAGCACAGAGGAAATCATGGCCCTGGTTCTCAGAGTGAGTTCAAAGAGCAAGACACATTCACTGTTTTGATGTGTTCATGCTCCTTTGGGGGGATTTTCAAGTAACTTAACACTGCTTACAACCACTGAGAGGTAGACAGGTAAACAGCAGTAAAGAGCAGCGACAAAATATAATCTAATTCGCAGTGATGAAATCGATAAAGCACTGGCCACAATAATAAAATGGTAAAGATGGAAGAGAGAAAGGTTTTTAGTCTACTAAAATCTATCCATCCAATAGTAGCAGCAAGGGAATATCTTACAGGTATAGAGACACTCTGAAGGATCACCAGTAAGTCAACAGCTCCCCCTCCACTGTGTAAACACTGAAAGGCACGAGGAATCTCACTCATCCATGGCCTGGGGAAATGAAGGTGAGAGATATCAGCACAGGCTCATTGGAAGAGTTCTTTGAAGCTCTTCTGTGTTCAGAAGTATTTTAAACATGGAACATACTTTATAATAGGATGGTACTGCAAGTATCGAGTGGAAAACAGTACAGGTCATGCAAAGAAATATGTAGAGGAAGACAATCTATTACTCCCAAGCTGTTCATTCTTGTGAGAATATATATATTTATCAAATTACTCACCAGATTAGCATAAATGAAGAACCCAAAACTTTATGGGTTTAGCTACAGTAATAGGTCAACACCAATAGGCTGCCCTCAAATACCCTTCACAAAACTCCACCCGTCACAGGATGCATGTCCTCCCCGACCCAGGTTCATTCACACCAGATGATGATGACTGCGGTAGAGGCAGTTTTTTGTGTGTGGTTTGGTTTACAGCTAATGTATCGAGTGGTAAAAATCTGTTTCCATTAAGCATTCTCTCACCTGGCATCATCAGGCCGAGGCAGCCACATTAATCCCCCTGCAGACGCCAGCAAAGCCCGCACAGAGGCTGTCTGCACACCTTCTGCTTGAGATTCTTAACTCCCAAATCTTAGTAAAATGACTAAACAGCAAGATTAGATTAACACAGGGTGGGATTAGATTCTGAGGCAGTTTTAAGGTTCAACTCTCCCTTATACATATACATATACACATTCTTGTTTTTTGTTATTTAAGGTCGAAGATATTTCACGTTTGGATCTGGATACAGTTGGGAAAATATGTCATAAGTGAATATCTCAATATCTTAAATGCCAATGTGAATGTGTGTCCCACAACACAGTTTCAAACCAGCAATAGAGTCCAATTTAACACTGCTTGAAAGCAATTTGAAGTAGTAGTGGTGAAGGTTTAGGGAACAGGTCATACAAAATCATCACTGATTTGCCTCTTTTGTATATCGAAGAGTAATCAAACATTAATAATAACCAATTCAGATGCCTCAAGAGGTGGCAGCTTTACATATTCAATCGATAAAGTCGTTCCAAATAACCAGAAAAACGGGATTAATCCATCAGCACATTAAAGTAAACCCAAAAGCGAGCTTCTAATGCAGAGCGGTGGCACGAAACGTCAAGAACAAGCCAGGGGTATTGAGGAGAAATGTAGGATTAACCTCATTGATCCATCTGTCTTGCGGAGCAAATACGGCGAGAGGGAATCCTCTTAGCCAGAAGGTAGTAGGGGTTATAAATAGTGCGCTATTCACACCGATAAAAAAAATCTTAATTTCAGCGTTAGGGCTAAATTAAACGAGAGCAACAGCTGGTGAGTTTTGTGAATGAGAATCGGGTTTCCTTTTGGGTCCGAAATTGTAAAGATGCAGATTAAGTCGATAAATGCGTGCAAAAGATCAAAACGCAGTCGTAATATGGGAAAGATAGTGAAATGAGTTGGTAAATTCGTTTCAGAACGATATTTTTGTGCGGTTTCAGTCGGGTCACAACGTGCACTCTTCCGACACCTGCGCACTGCCAAATGGAGGGGAGAAAGAAATAAACAAAAACAAAAAAATGGAAATGGAAAATGCACCAAAATTATGCCGCACTCAATTACAGAGCCAGACACAAAACATCCCAAACACAAGTCACCTCTGCTCACCTCAACAAGCAGAATGCTCCAAAAATGAGCGAGAACAGCTTTTCCAACAGTCGAGACTTTCTCCTTTTACATGTGAATGAACCGAAATGTTCAAATCCAGGTGGCCCGGTGAGCTCCGGCCGCTCACTTCAGCATCATCCACTTGGAAATGTAGTACAAATACCGAGGGGCCAAAATGAAGTATAGTTCCCGGTTCCACTTCAGCAACAGCGATCAGCTTGTTTGTAGGTGAAGGCTACAGCCGCAAAAATGAATGAATGAGTGATCGGACACTGTTTGTGCGCCTCCGCTCTCAGTATGTGAGTTCCCGCAGCCTCAAGACTTAGCTGTGAGAGAGAAGCAGCAGCCAATCGGAGACGAGATCCCCCCCACATCGACATACACAAACATATTCCTCCCTCCTCTGCTCTTTCGATTAGATCTCTTCCCCTTTCTCCCCCTGCGGCCCTCTCTCCCACACTGACGTTTGGTTTGGTCGATCTGCGTCTTTGTCATCCTGCCACTGAAGTTGCAATTCTCTGTTTAATTCACCACGATATTACCAGGGAAAACCCACAATAATTCCACTTTGTATCTGGTGGAATAAAATCTACCCCGACCTTACAATCCAACACAACCGGTGTATAAAAGCAGTAACAATCTGGTACAGGAGCAAATCTGTCTGGTTTTCCAAATTGTAGCAATTATAACATTCACAGCTCCAACTTCAGAGGAAAGTAAATAGCAGCACATGTATCCTATTCTATCATCTTCAGATAAAGTTTGATCATTGTTCAATGTCCACTTGTACAACCAACAATAGCAAAGGTAGTATATGGACTGAATATAATTTAAACATGATTGTTTAGTCTATATTTTTCTCTCTCACATCTATATCCATTCTGTTCACCGATTGTCCATATATTACAAAATTATATCTGTTTTGTAAGTGGCAATTTTTAAAAGGAAGCTGCCTTCAGTAAAGCATGCCGTTCATGTTGAGTGAAGGTCTAGGCTATTGCTATGGATTTATGAAAAGAATGGCAGTGTATATATTAAATTAAATCAACATGCAAACCACAATCATATTTGAATAAGAACTCTATTAAGTCCTTTGATGCAGTGTTCTCTGGAAAACCTTAATCTTGACAGGGTCATCATACTCCATGTGCCTAGTAACAGGTAGTAGTTGTAGAGTTTCTCATGTATTCAATTCAATTTATTTTACATGGATTTAACGATGAAGGTACAAAGAAAGATCTGAAAAGCGCAGTCTTAATTCTCTGTCAAATCTACACAAATATGTCCCATTCTTACAAAATGATGTTTTTTTTGTTCAGATGTTGAATCCAGTTTAAACATTTAAACTGAACAGAAAATACTTAAACTGTGCTCTCTGAGGCAGGTTGTACTGCAGCTAAAGTGAAGCACAAAAGAAATGTGATTCATAGAGATTCCAAACTGGATGTTATTTAACAGGAAAAGCATTGGGTCAAAAACACTTTGCTAACTCTCTCTCTGTCTACCAGCAGAGTAATAATATGTGGATAATTAACTGCAAATCATCAGAAATCTTACACACATCCAGAGGTATTATGTCATGTGGGTTTACAGTAGATTAATGTATATTATATGCACCAATCTGACTTTACTCTTGCTTAAGTGACAGTATAAAGATACATTTAGGTGTCATAGGATGCCAGGCTCACAAACCAGAGACTGACAAACCAACCACACCCTTTTCTTACTTCTGAGTTTGTGTGTTTGTGTATTACAAGAAATCATTGTAACCAGTGTTGATTTCAGCCTGGTTTCTGTGTTTCCAAAGATAAAGGAAGTGAGATTTCTACATTTCAACTGGCTCACACTTCTTCAGGGCAGTAAGCAATGAATGGCTAAGTGGAAGACTTTGTCCACTTGGTAACATCAGCATGATACCAGCTACGGCTGGATGGTTTAACAAACAGGGTTGTTCCAGGTGTAAAGCAGTGGAGGATACCTCTGCCATGATACCAGAGGCTGGAGAATTAACAGCTAATCAGAGCAGTTTCTGAGGTGTAAAAAGGTGCCTTACACCTGCATCTTAGGGCACATAATGACCTTTTCATCAGAGAAGCAGATTAGAAAGTCATTGGTGTGTTACTGACATACCAGGTGATGTGTTGGATGTGAAATGTTCCAGCATTATGTCAATAAACTATGAGTGACAATCCTAACATAGTTGAAAAACTACATAGAGGAGACAGGCATCAGGAAAATGAAAAGAGGTTTCCCTCTTCCTGCCACCACTGCAGTCAGCTTACATGATGCAGTCTTATTTAAGGATTTAATTTTTGCTCCATAGGTGCCTCTTTTATGTCATGTCTGATACATACCATTAACCATGCCTCTAGTGCTGTGCTTGAAAATTTGGAAAACACACCAGGCAGTGTGCCTGGATACTTGAGTCATTGCAAAGAATGTATTTATTCAATTTAACATGAGTAAAAATTATACAAAGTAATGTTTGAATGGCTCTCTGAAAGCAGAAATCAATTAGATAGTAACAAATATGCAGAGTTGTGTTATGAGATACAAAGTACTTTGTCCAGAAACAAAAAGGGATTTGTGTGAAGTTCATCTATTGTGAACACAAATTCAAATTTGTTTCAGCTCCAACATAAGAGTATGTGGTATTCAAAGTCTGTAAAAAGTTTATCAAAATGTGAATTTGGGAAACTGTCATAAGTGGTAGTTTTGATGCTGATAGTTCACCTGTAATAAATCACAGAAGGTTGTTGTACATGTGATGACTGTTCAAATCAGACACAATTTACAGGAGGAATAAAACATAATAATACAATATAAATGAATATAAAATTTAATTACATAGTTTTAATTTAGTTTAACAACAAAGCAAAGCCATAGGAAGGCCTCAGGCACATTTGACACATGAAAAACCACTACGTACACATCATCCGTCATTTCTGTCTTTTATTTGTATAGCTGTATGAGCATGGCTTACTGCTGCTTTTCAGCGAGAAATGATCTTCCTAAACCTCCCTCAGATATGGATTAGGTCATCTATACGAACAGGTGGACATTTGGGGTCTCTGTTGGCTTATTTGTGTGACTGAAAACTTTCTTGTTTCTTTGATCTGTGCCACATTGACCAGTGTGGTTTAAGTGGAGTTTGAAGGGGAGCAAAAAGACAAATTCATTTTAAACATACCTGGTAAAGCTTGATGGCGTTTTTTAAAAATTGACTACATTAAAAAAATGTGGGAACATGGAATGTGAAACTTGTCTGTAACTGTTATGTTTTGAATTAGAAATGGTAATCTATTAAAATCATAGAACCCTGCCAGATGCCAGTCAGCATATACATATAATGCAGAACAGACATTTTAATTTAATAGTCTGTTTTCTTAGTTTATGTGGGTATATTTAGCAGAGAACTGGTTTTAGAAAAAAAAAAAAGTAGTTTCACATCATCTGAAATTAATTATGATTAGCTTTTTCACCTCATCTCACAACGTACAACAGGGCCCTGATACACAACAACCGCAGACTCTTTTCTTTACCACCTTTTCTAGACTGGGTAAAAAACTACTTAACCCACCCTCATCTGGCTGTTAAGTACAATATGACATCCAGCAGTTTCAGTAGCTCTGACCTACCATAAGTGTGAACATAAAGTCTGGTTGACTTTCAAAAGCAGATACGAAAAACTGGTGCAGCTGACATTTCTGTTTATGAAGCAGGTGTCTACAGACAGAAACATCTCTCTAAGGAAACATCAGAAACAGACTCTAAGGTTGAGGCAGTGTTTTTTTTTACTGGATGCATAATTTTTCTGCTCCCCAGAATGGGGCTGGTGCCCATACTCTAGCAGCTTTGATTAGCAGATTCAATGAAACAGGTCCATGTCTGAAGGGGGCTTTATCTTAAGTTGGATTAGAGTCTTTTAAATTATTTTGGAATCTTAATTAAAGCCGTGCTGAACTAACTGCTCAGTATGTTATCATTGTTCGTATCCAGCTCCACCTGAGTTTGAGTACTATTCCACTCGTTAGGTTAACCACTATAATTATATTTGGAGTGATGACATCCTAATTTCCATCTCTGTTCATGGTATGATTTGGACCGGTTGGTGCCTCTGATCGACCCTTATCCTCTCTACAAGTACACTCCTGTTGTTTGGTCAGACTGGTGAGAAGTTCCAAGACTCTGATTTCATGCTCCATGCGAGCTTTCTCCCTCCTCTCCTCCCTCTCAGCTGTCTCCCTCTGTCGGCGCTCCTCCCTCTGTAGCCACTGGGACAGGAGCTCCTGATGCCAGCGGGCATACTCCTGCCTCTGACTCTCTAGCTGCACCAGTAAACCCTGCGTGTCCGACGCAAGCTCCTGGAAACACTTTAACAGCTTTGTGAGGGCAGGCTCGAGACAGGAGGATTCAGGGTGACGGTGGCTGGAGGTGAGGAGTGTGTTGGGGCTTTTGCCTGATGGTGCTGGGAGAGGAGAGGCAGCAGGCTCGGGAGGAGGCAAAGGTGGTAAAACACGTGGTAAAGGTGTGCTCAGGCTGTTTTCCATTGTTGTAGCTGTGATGGGAAAAACAAAAGTATAACCCAAGATTATATTCAAAGTCTAAACAACCAAACAATAAAACATTGAATCTACGATAAGGATATGAGGAGTTTTTCTTTTATGTCCATTTTTGTTCAAACTTGACAAAAATCAGATGTAACATACGTCCTCCTGTCAAATCTAACAGGACACTATCTAACAGGAATAACTGCATTGTAAACACAAAATTACCCACAAACAGTAAAGTAAATATGAATACACACCATTACTTTCAGTGTGAATGGCCGTCTCCCTGAGGACTCGGTGACATCCGTCTCTGGGATGTTGTGAAAATCCTGCGTCACTAGATTCAAACTCATCTGTTGACTGTTCTCTGTCCTCCAACTTGATCACAGATTCAAAATGCCTACTTGCCTGCTCTTCCACGGAGCTCAAACTTTGGCTTCCTGTGCTCTGAAATGAACTGGGGTGATGTGCATTAAATTGTATATTTGAATTCAGATTTGATTGGGCATTTCCAGTCCCATCAATGTACAACGTGGCCATCCCTGCCTGAAAAATGCAGCGCCGTCCCACTCCCCCTCCAACTGACCTTCTGCCCAGCACTGCGTCCATCTCTGCAAAATATTTGAAGCTGCACGGCTGCGAAGCATCGACGCTCTGCTGTAGTTTGGCTCTTACGTAGTTGGCCTTCAGAGTTTTCACTCTTAGTCGGCACTGATGGGGACTGCGAGAAAAGCCCATTTCACTCATGCGAGCTGAGAGGTGCTTGAAGATGTGAGTGTTGCGGAGGTTTTCCACCAGACTCTTTTGGATACGCTCGTCACTCCAGGCACAGAGAAGCACCTGGGTTTCCTCCTCTGTCCAGTTAACCGAGCGCTCTGCATCTCTTTTTCCTGCACGTGCAGAAAATAAGCAGCAAATAAGCAACTGAATATAAGTCTGTGCAGCTAATTATTTGCCCTTTTATTTAATGTACACGATCAAAATGAAGCAAATAAGAACTGTGCAAAAGTTTTGAAACACCACAGGTTGACATTAAATTCTTCTTGAAAGCATTCAGAAATTTGGTTTGAAAAATAGTTTCTCAGGCTTTCTGAGACTCCATCAAAGGCATTAATGTATTTAAACTAGTTTTGGATTATTTATAGGAATGTCTATTTTCCAGTCTATTTAACCACTTCACACTGACCCATTAATCATTTAGGCATTTAAAATGCTTCTCGGAATAAAGAAGGAAAGAAACAATACAGCGTAGCGTATGTCACAAAAAAAGTGTGTGAATGTAATGTAAATGTGCCTTGAGTGGTCAAAACATGGCATGATGTTTCAGTTACTAATGTTCCCATTTCTTTATTTAATCTATGAATAATACCAAAGACAACACAGTTTGTGGGTGCTAAGCAGTATTTTGACTGTCAATAACTTTAGAACAAAAAATATGTCCATCATTTGTAAATGATGCCCACAAGAAATGACCAAATATAGTAAAAACCTGACTGAATCCTCCCTGTAGCCTGGACCTTAACATCATTGAAGCATTGTGGAGTCATCTTGACAGTAAACGGAAAAAAAATTAATACAACATCCAAACATTGGAATGTCCTTCCAGAAGCCTGGAGAACTATTCCTGTAGACTATTTAAATAATTATATATACTAAATATTGACATTCAAGCTGGGTCTTTTACATTTCACATTTATATACGTATTAAAACTGTTTTAAAGAATTGTTTGACCTATGTCATGTTGTTCTAAAAAACCTAAACACATATGAATAAAAGGATGTTCAAAACTTTTAAAAAGTAAGGCACATGTGCTATATCTAGAAATGTAATAGTAGTATTTCACGGATTTACAAATCCTGATAATGGTAAGGGCCCTTCCTGGTTTGCAACTCTCCATATTTGCCACATAGATCACTATTATACGTTCTTAATCATTTTCATATAAACCATTAACTTTTGTATTTGGTACTCTGAATCACATATCTACAATCAGACGTTTTGGCCCCTTCGTTTAACCCAGTAAAGCAATAAACATTGACACGCTAAGATATTTACTTTCTGTTCTTTGGGTTTCCACCTAGCAGAGGGTAGAATCATACCTTCACATATTTATCAGTTTACTTAAGAATACGTATACAGTATTATGGTCGTAATTTCGAAATGTTTATCAGTATATCATAGGTTAAACTAAACAGAAATCACTTCCTTAGTTGGCTTTCGTAACAGGAAGATAAGATGTGTGAAGTTGAGGCTTCGCAAACAGGCTAACGGAAGTGACCACTTCACTTACAGAAAAATTATTCGACATGTAAAAGGTTGCTTGTCGACTAAGAACTATTACGACTAAAGAATGAATTAGCATGAGTTAACATTAGCAAAGTAATGTTTTTCGAGTGTAAGACCCAGAGCAGCTAACGTTTCCAGCAAACGGCTAACCGATTCGCCCATAAAACCTTGCGACGCCCACCCTACTTAACATATGACAAAATGCGTCCCTCTCTCTCCACACTCAGTCTTACTTCTCGTTGTTGACACGGAGTTGGTGGAGTTGATCATTGCAGGGCTCATTTTTGACAGACTCAAGCAAACATAAACAATACACACGCGCATCTGCTATGCTCCAAAGAGATCACGAGAGCAATGCGTCAAATCACGTGACAAAACGCTGGCAACGGTTGAATGCAGGCAGCCTCCCATTTGCTAGACTCGCTCAGGGTTGTATGAGGGCTGGAGTCCATGCTAGAAACGGTCGGGTGAAAGGCGGGGTACACCCTGGACAGATGCAAATCCAGCACAGAGCCAGACAACCATGCACACACAAACTTACATCGAATATGGAGTGAGTTAACAATTAACTCAACGTGACTGTTTTGGAGAGTGGGAGGAAGCCGCAGTACCCTCGTAACACACTCTTACTTGAGTAAAACATGTACACCACACAGAAACAGCTCCGTCGCCTCAAAGCAAGATGGATTTTTCTGTGTGGAGTTTGCATGTTCTCCCTGTGTCTGCGTGGATTCGCTCCGGGTACTCCGTCTTCCTCTCACCATTCAAAAACATGCATGTTAGGTAACTTGGACACTAAATCGTCCCTTGAACTGAATGCAAGTGCTTGTGGTTGTTTGTCTATGTGTACCCCTGATAGACTGACTACATGACCAGGATGTACCAAGCCTCTCGCCTGTTGTCAGATGGAATAGGCTCCTGCCCCTGAGACCCTGTAGGAAGTAATGGGTATTAAATTATTTAAAAGCAACATATTCTTTCTTCCTGTGATTATATGTAAAAAAGTCCATTTCTTTTTTTGTGTACTTTTTATAATATTGTTTATCTATTTGGTTGGTTGCTTAGTTTTGCTTTCTATTTTTTAATTATTTTAAAATACCAGTATTTTTGCAGTAATAGGCTTCCTTTGTTTTTTTTAACATTCTTGTTTGTGTTTCAGATAAAGCAGATATTTCCGATAAATTATTATAGAAAAAAGTTTACCTGAAAACCAAACAACTAAAAAAGGAAAGTTTTGTTTTAACTAAGCTCTGCACCCTGTTGTTGTCGTCGCTAATAATATTATTCACTTGTCAAAAACTATATATAATTACAGGGGATTTTAATACAATACTGTACTCTAAAGAGCAGTTGTACAATATATATATAAAAGATTCAGCAGATTATTGCTTTCAAAAGTATATTTAAATCAGTTTTAATCAAAGATAGTTAGGAAAATTGTACAATCCACAGTAAAGGTTTGTGGTACGGGAGCACTGTGTGAGAATCTGCTGTCACTTCATTGATTGGTAGGAAACAGCAGGTGGCACTAGGAATATGAATGCTTGAGCCCATGAGCAAAAGAGTGCACAAATTGGAAAAAAAAAGGTCAAGTAGTCAGAAAAGTATTCATGCCTCTGGCATTAAATATGTATTTGATATATATATATATATATATATATATATCAAATACATATATACAAACTTAAAATATCAATACCAATATCAATTTTTGATCAAAAGCCCCTGTCATTCCATCAGTGTAATATTTTGGAAAAATATAATATGCTCAATTTTGAAAACTTTATCATTATAAAAATAGTTGTTTAATTTACAAAGTTCTGAATGGATTAGCCCCACCTCCACTCTCTACCTACTGTACATTAGACCTGGCAGACGTATTTGAACCAGAGCCTCTTCCAGAGGAGACCTAGAAATCCCCCGCAGAAGAACGACCTTTGGACAAACCGTTCTCTCAGTCAGAGGGGGTCACTTCTGGAACAGCCTCCCAACAAACATCAGGGAATGTCCCACTTTAAAAAGCACATTAAAAATTTTTTTAAAAGTTCCCAGTCATGCACTCACTAATTTTATTGTTGTGATGTCATTGTCTGAACGTGTGTCTATGTGTTTTGACTGATAATGTATTATGTGATTTTGTGTTGTTTTGTCTTCCTGCCTCAGGACGACAGATGAAAATGAGCAACTATGCTATAATCTGGCTCATTTACAATCTGTACTGAAGTGTAAGATTGTTCATTAATGAGCACTGTCCTGATTAAATAAATGAATTAAATTAAATAAATAAAACAATACCTACTTACTAAAGGAAACCACAGAATATGGCATAGATAGTGACATCTGTGCAGTTAAATGCGATGCTAAATCTTGCTCCAGGGCTGTCTCAAAATACAGTGACACTGAAAACTCACATTCAGAATAATGGCATATTCTGGAAGATTTTTTTTTTTTTCCCCTGGGAGTCAGATGACAGAAAAGTTAACAGCAGCTGAGAACAAGACAAAAACTCTGACAAAATACATTATAAATAAAGAGCACTGCCAGATGAAATTTCCCACAATTATCTCACAAAGAGGAAATGAGAAAAGACAGCTGTGGGTTTTATTTCCAGTGAGTTGTTGAACACAAATTGTAGAGGAAGATATAGCAGAGTAAAAAAAGTACAAAAAATCCCCTTGATACAATAGAAGAGGGGGTTTTATAAATAATGCTAAGATCACCGACCAACATTTCACATATTTTTCCCAGAACCTGTTTCAATTTTGGCCCCTGGGTGGATATTTTTGGCATTTGCTGCTGTAGTGGGACTTTTTAAAGGTATTTACAACAAACTTAGCTTGCAGTTGATATAAGGTATGTGCATTGGTTACAAATCTATTGGTTTCTTCAATCAGCTGCGGAAGGACCTGCTGAGACCTCAAGAGTAATGAGATATCACACAGGCCTGGTAGCCATACAGACTAACAAAACATGAATTTCCCTTTATAGTCTTAATAAACAAAAAGAGGTAGATTTATCAGTTACTGCTTTCATGCTATTTATCACCTCTATCCATATTAGGATGTTGTAAAATAATCACTGTCAGTGTGCCTTTTTTCAATGATAATTCATTGCATGTTTCACCTTTAAAAAGTGTGATTCTTTTACCCTTCGAGTACATAAAATCCTAAACACTATGGAAAACACAAAAGTAACACTTCCTCTTTTGCAGAAATGTTGTCAACTGATTGATTTCTTTAATACCACAATGACACAGAGCACAGTTTATTTGATTATCTATAAATTTAGAACACTCAAGAGATCTGTCTTTGCTCTATAATTGCTGGTCGAAATGTTACTAAAAAGGAGATATATTCATTTAAGATTAATCTAGAAACCTAGTACTGTACTATACATTATATCTTACACAAAAAGAAAACGTGATCAAGATGTTGATGTTGAAATATGGATTCAATAAATAAATAATGGTAGAACCAGCACTGTCTACCCTCCTCACAGATTGTCTTCTCCATCCTTGATAAGGAGAGACGGGCTGTACGTCTACTCCTACGGTGATTAGTAGTGCAGAAAAAATAGGTCAGTGAGCACACTGGTATGATAAGGTGTGTTCCACGGACGGTTATGTCAGTAAAGGCTGAAGCACAACCAAGGTATCCCACTGTGAAGACTGAGGATCCCTGCCTGCATACTGCACTTTGGCATGACTCCATTTCTATCCCTTTCATGTCTCCTGACATCTCACAGCAGTGGCACTGATGTTTAGATCAGTGGTTCAAAAACTTTCACACCATGCAAAGAGACTCAACATGATTGAAGTGCAGCTATTTGTGGGATGTATGCTTTTTTTGGTTTGGAACCCTCACGAATAAGTAATTTAAGCTCAAGTGTGTGTTTTAAAGCTTATACAGAATCATTGACTCAACACTGAACAGAAAAATCCCAACTGTTACTGGACCGGTTAAATTACAATCACAGGGCACACAGAGACAAACAACCACACACAGTCACATAATTGTTTGTGGATAGTGAAGGAAAGCCTGGGGAGAACCAAAACATGTTAAGCCACTTTATCCAAATCCAACACATTAGCATCTTATTTCTAGACAACAAAGTACTTTCCATCAAAATCACTGCATGATTGATTATTCTTGTAGGCACATACATAATTCTATTGACACACATTTCCACATTTTTGAATGTGCCTTAAATCATACGGATTCATGCAGATCCTCAGTGCTTCCATAGAATGTATCTGTACTTCTTTGCATGATTTCTACTGGTTCTGTTCCTTTGATTAAATGTTTCATCGTGGTAGTCTGCCAGCTGAATGACTAAACAGTGCAGGTTGTTTGCTGTTATTCCTCTATGTTGTATCTCTCTTGTCTACATTCCAGCTGCTGTGGCAGATTAAAATAAAATTACATCTGATTTTGTGGGCTAATAATCAACCATTTTCTAACTGAAATGTATGTTAATATTACAGAAACCTCTACAAAAAATATTCTTTTATAGCTGTGCAGCTGCTAAGCATGCAAATCTGCACCAGGGTGGAATATTTAGCCAAACAAACTCAAAAACACACACAGACATCTCTGGGAGGTCCTTTCTCAGTACTAAAAATGGGCTTCAGAACTGTTGTGATGTGGAGTCACTCATCTTCCATTCAAAGCTTTACCAAAGTCTTTCAAATGAAATACAGAACCCAAGTCCTTTGCCAGAGTGCTCTCTAATTTCCAGAATTTTTGTAGAAGCCAACTATTTTCTGAAGCCACTTGACCAAACGTCAAAATTATGGTAGAATATTTGTGCTTCAAAAACACTACCTATACGCAACAGATGCCTACATGAGAAAAAATCCAATTTTGTTTTCAAGAAAAGATTAACACAGAACTACATGCTAAGTTAATGTTCCACCCTGTTTGAGTCACAGACATCTGTGCACTTATCTGCTGATGAACACGTACAGTTGAAGCTGTCCACAGTCACACACCATGTACTGCATAATTTAAGCACCAGTTGTGTGCCAGTTTGTGAACTGCAAGCATTTCCACCTGAAATTCCTTCTTCCTTTGTTTTAGAATTATGCAAACAAGAGCTCAAAGTAGAACACATTTTGAAACAAATTCTTGTTGCTGAACATATTTGCACTTAAACACAAAGTTTCTTGTCGACTGCTTTAAAAAATCAGATAAATCTGGACATTCTTATGTAAGGATGACCGTTTATATAAATGCAAAAATGTTGGTCGGTACTCTGACAAACTAAGAAAGAGGTTGAAATCTAAGGGTCGGTCAGCATGATAGTATCATGCAGACCATACCAGCTGAGTGACAGCAAGTAACAGCAGAATGAATAATTTCCTTGTCGTTTTTGTACACTGTTGACCTGCTGTGGTGGTCTACAGCTGAGAAAGCACATCCACTGTGGTTAATGATATTTTCAGTGTCCTGAATCAAGAACATTGCGTCCTACATTCCACATTGGACCCTTGG